TGACTTTCAGCTTGGACGGCTTTCCTTAACAGCTTTCACACGGCCCTTATAGTTGCCACATTCACTTCAACGTTTTACACTGGCGACGAGGAATTTTTTGAAAAGAGTGATCCTGGCATGCGAAAATTGATGATAGATGTTTTGTTTTTTAACATTTTCGGATCTTGCTAAAAATAAACAAGAGTTCTTTTTATTAAAATTGATGTCCTATGCATGAATGGTTCGTTTAACTCTTGGGCGTTTCTGTTTATGGATATCGCTTGTTTGTTTATATTTTTATTTTTTTAGGAATGTCATAAAAACTTCGATATTTGTATTGTTAAAATTTTAACTTTATGGATAATTATAGATATATGTATTAACTACCAAATCTCAAAACTGGGCGGGTTCAAAATCTAGAAAAATTAATTTGGTATAAAAAAATTAAAATAATTAAAAATCAGTTAAATTAAAAAAAAAATATTTTGTTTCTCTGCCTTGGCTGTTCTACTCCTGCTCCTACTGTTGGTTCTTTTCTCTGCCCTGGCTCCTCTGCTTTATTTATACCGTATAATATTCTCTACTCTCTCCGTTTAATTCTGTCTTGAATATTTAATTTTGTTTAAATAAAATTTCTATTACCTTTCTTTATATGTTTTGTTTATTTTTAACTTCTCAATAACAACTATCTTCACAATTTCTATCAATTTCTAATTTTAACATTTCTTTGAAAAGAAAATCTGTCTTGACATTTTTTAAATTCCCTTCTGACAACTTAAAAAAAATTTTATGACAATCTATTATCTTAAAAATCAAATAACAACATCCTTGATAATTTCACAATACAAAATATTGACAGGAAATGCATGGGGCTTACGCCAAATATGTTTCTTATTTTCTACAGTAAGTTTTTTCCGTAAACAACTTAAATAATACCAACATACTTCAGTAAAAATTTGTTTTATCAAGAAAACTTTGTACGATCAGCCCTATCTAAAAGCAATTCATAAAATATTATTGTTTATCTTCCCAAAGCAATAATTTAACAATTACAATGTTCGCAACAGATATTTTTCGAGTTATTAAATTATAACCGACAAATTATATTTGTATAGTTTACAAAATTTGTTAACATTTTGTGTCGGCCACAAAAATGGTTTATTAGATTTTGCGGTGTTTTTGAATATTTTATATAGTGTTCAATTCAAAATATAACAAATGATCATAATAAAATATGCGTAGACATTTTAGAAATAAAATGAAAGCAATTCGTCGATATATTTTGATATTATTATTCTATAAATGTGTAATTTATTAAACAACGAAATTTATTTATGCGTAAAAACATGAATATTTGAGTTATTTACTGATAAACAAATTTAAACATTTTTGGCATGAAAGAGATGAGAAAATACAAAAATCAGAGTGGATAGAAGAATTTTAAAATTATTTTAATTAAATATTAGACGACTTACATGTAAGGAAGTCCAAAAGATTTATAGAGAAAATAATTTGGGCTTACTTATTTCCTTCGAGCGCCGCCCCTGCCTTAATTCAGAACTTGAATAAATACATTCGTTAAAACGTCAAACAGATAAGTCTATATTCAATTATCAGATATCGCGAAACTATATACCGACAAAAACGAAACCAACTAAGTATTTCAGCCGTAAACTACGCGCTAGACGGATAGTAGTTTGAAAAGCTAATTTATTTCAGTTTCTGAAGATTAACTTATCGGCACAACTTCATTTAGGTGCGCTTTCTTGAAAACTTATTAGCAAACTCTGAAACATGGGCTATTAAAATTTACAACACAAAATCTCTGGGCGTTGAAGAAAATATATTTATTTGAAAACTTTCAAGTTCTCCTTTCGCGTATTGATCCCTCTTGAAGTACTTTCAAAAGTCCATTACCGAAATTGTAATTCATTTAGGGAAGGAAAGTTTCGACGTAAGAGTCAGAAGAAGATGGCATTTTTATTTTTATAATTGGGTATTACCCAAAATGACTGGCAAAATTAAATTATATTGAGTGTTTTTACAACTCTAAAGTATTATATATGAGTATATTCTAGATGTTCTTGCAATCGGTTGGCGCTCCACACGGTTCTATTTTGAAGCCTCTACTTTTTAATATGTGTGTTAATGATATTAAGGAATCCATTTGGCTTATATGTTTTAAGGAAATTATTTAGATGGTTGAGAAAATTGAAAATTGTGTAATGGTGCTTTATTTCTTTAAATCTGTCTTCTAGTTTTGATAATGCAGTACCTATCCAAAAGGCAAGAGTAACAAAAAGTCAAAATAGCCTTGAAAAGTAAGAAAGGATGGATGTTCTAAAGATAATTGCAAAAACCATTAGGATTCCTTTGATATAAATTATATTCTTTACACATTTAATTCAACTCTAGTCACGATGTTGGAAGTTCTTCAAAGATAAATATAAATTATACCGCACCTAGCCACTCTCTTAATTTGCCGAAATTCCGATTTAAAAAAAAAAACAAAAGTAAGTATCATGCGAGGCCCTATTATAATTGCGATTTTCCGTGCTGTTTTAATTAATCCAGTTTATCTTCCGTTAGTTTTTCCAACACGACAAAATGCCACAGTGCCCTACATTAGTACCGAATGATTAACTTTTTTCTTCGGCGTCTACTCGCGCCGTGAAAAAAAGGGAAGTGGGCTTTTTCACGCTCCTGTTTACGCGTTTTTTGGCCCACAAGGTCGAGATTAGAGTAGATACTCTCGTGTCAAACAAGAGCAGTGTTGCGTACTATGTCGACGCGATATATCAACGTCAGCAAACACAGTTGAATACACTGAGGGAGATTGAACTTTTACGCTTTATTTATATTTGCATAGAAATTTTTTTGTCTTCGTTGTAACTTGGTGGGATGGAAATTTAGTTTATTCTTAACTTTTTTTGGCACTTTTAAAAAAGAAAAGTGGATAACCTGACTAGATTTAAATGTATAGCTCTCGGAAACCGGAAGTTTTGGGTTTGATGGGGTGCGAATTTAGAAGGGTCACAAGTCAAAAAGAAAAAAGGATTTCCTGTAAGAAATGTAAACATATTGACACAACAGCAGTTAAAATGTTTTAACTACGAAAGTGCTGAAATCAGCACTTTGTTACTTTTCGTTTATAAAAAGGTATATAAATATATCAAGTTAATTTTTGAAAGACATTATTTTAAACGTATATCATGCTGTCAACGCTTCCTGGTGAAATATTAGGCGTTTGTAATCTTGATGTTTACTTTGCCTATATCGTCCTGAATTTTTTTCAGAATACCAGTGTCACGATTTTCAAGATGCGTCTTTACTTGTAGAAATAATAGTTTGTGCAACAAGAGTAGATATAGACATGTCCATTGTATAAGTTATTCATTTATTATAGGTGATCTAAATTTTAAAACGTTCCAATATAAAAGTTAAATAAAATAGTTTAAATCAGCTAGGTTCTTTCCAAGAAGCAATACGGTTTTAGATGCGGTAAATCTAGAGAGCACGCAATATGCGATTTGACAAACAGTGTATACAATGCGATAGATGAAACAAAAGCCACGCTTTGTATATTTATCGACTTGGCCAAGGCATTCGATACTGTTTGTCACAAAACTTTGTTGAATAAACTAAATGATTATGGTCTTAGAGGAAAAATATTTGAATTGTTTAAATCATATTTATAAAACCGACTTCAATGTGTTCAGTTGGAGAACACAAAGAGTACATTCAGGAAAATCAAATATGGAGTACCTCTAGGTACTGTATTAGGTCCCCTACTGTTTTCCCTTTACATAAACGGGTTGTTGAAACTTAACTTAAAGGGTAAGATTATACGTTTTGTCGATGATTCAGTAGTTGTAACTTGGAATGAAGTAAAAACTGTAGTAGAAAGATAATTCCAAACTATAAGTAAGTGGTTCCAGCTAAACACATTGAGAAATAATTTTAATAAAACGAAATTTATGTCATTTGCCTCATATGCCAATAACTTGCCATCTTTCACAACACTTCTTTCATACCTGGCACGAATCAAATAAAATATTTAGGGGTTGTATTGAACCAACATCTGAAATGATTATTACCTCGTTTTAGGTATTTGAAATCTTTTTTAGATATAGAACCTTTAAAAACACTATATTTCTGTCTTGTGCAATCACATTTAAATTATGACTTACTAGGATAGGGGGGAGTCTATGACACACACATGAGGCACTTAGATGTTATTCAAAAATGGTTTTTGAAAATTATACTTAACAAAAACAGAAATTTTTCTAGTGACTTACTTTTACAGTCATCTAGAATATTAGATATAAGACAACTATTTTTTCAGAAAATAGCTATAAATGTTTTTAAAAACAATAACAAAAGCTGGTCATCCATTTAATACTATTTTTTAAATGATCTAGTAATAATATATTCAACTTTAAAATGTTTATAAAATTACAGTTTTGCCAAGCAATTAATTTTTTTTTTTTTTTTAATGAGGGAATGATGAAAACCCGAAAATAAATTTTCATAATTTAAGTAGGATTTCAGTGATTTAAAAATTGTTTAATATTCAGACTAAGCTGACGAATAGTGGTGATAGAACTGGTTTATTTTATACAGAGTGTTTTGAAATATGGCTAATTTTAAGTTCAATTTATTTAGTTTTATCAAAAGCATAAAATTCCTTAGAAATTTACTTATACAACGATACCAATATAATACCCAATAATACGTATACAGAGTGTCCCATCAGTGCGTAATTGATCGATAGCTGTTTTATTATTAAAAATAAGAAGACATTTTTTAAAATAAAACCACAAATGAAAAATACTCTAGTATTACTTCACTATTAAAGTTAATAACATTAAACAAAAAAAAAACTTTTAAAAATCGTAACTCAATAACATCAAAAAGCAATTTATTTAAACAGTTTAAACCTGTCACCATCATTTTCGATTTCCCGATTGATGCCGCCGAACGCGACCGCATTTTACAGTTTTCTGTTTTATTTGTTTCAGGTCCTATGGTATAGAGACACGATGCAACTGGACACAACAGAAAGAAGAATAATGGAGTCGCGCGGTTCCCGGCATACCCTCGTAATTCGTAAAGTGCACAGATCAGATTTTGGAAATTACACTTGCGTGGCAGATAATCAACTGGGGAAAACAAGAAAAAGTGTTCAATTAACCGGTAAGATTTATAGCTGGCAAGGGTAAAATACGACGACCATCGAGAAAACAATTTTCATACAATTTGGCGTGTTTAAAAAAAAAGTTCATGTGTGGAATATTGATCGTGTAGTAAATAAACTACAATACGAATAGGTTGAAGTTACTACAGGCATTGTTATTTATTTAAAAGTAAAAAAAATGAATATTACTGTAAAGAATTTCATATAACTCCTCCTTTCACAAATTGAGAATATCAGGAATTGATTCTTCGAAGTCTTTGGACTTTCTTCTTTTCTTTTATTAATTTATCTTTTTATTTGTAGATTTTGTTACTTTTTTTTGATGAGGACCTACCTTCAATTATTATTATTTCTCTTCTTTATTTTCATATTAAATAACTAGCAAAGCATGTGATTGTAATTATAATAGTTAATATTGTTTTTGGAATTCATATGATTCGTTCTAATTAATTTTGAAAAATCAATTTTACTTTTTAAATTTTTAACTTCATCAAACTCATTTTTAAAACGTTCAAATTTGTATAATTCTTGTTTAGAATTTTAGAATAGTTTAGCTAAAATTGGAGTATTTAATTTAATAGAAATACTTTTATCTACATTATTTTGAGCTTTCAAGGTAAATAAATATTTCCAAAATATGTTTCTTCAATAATTATATCTCCTTGCTGTAAAAACATATCATTTGGTTGTCTGTATTTAAAAGAAATTTCATTATACGAACCTATTAATTTTTTGTTTTTTAAGTCTATATTTAAACTCATTAATTAGGTCAGTAAAGTTAATATCACCATCAAAAAATCGTGAAAAGCATGTACAATGATATTAATTTCGTTCTTACAATTAAATTTTGCGAACTCTACGAAGTCTTTAAGGTTATATTTGCAAAATAAATTGTGTTTGGAAAATATTTTTCTACAATAGATGGTTTTATTATGGATTTTGAACATCCGGTATCAATCAGGAATTTTATTGACGGGTTTTTAATGTCTACATAATAAATAAAAATAATTAAAAATAAATAAAAATAAATAAATATAAATAAAAATAAATAAAAATAAATAAAAATAAATAAAAATAAATAAAAATAAATAAAAATAAATAAAAATAAATAAAAATAAATAAAAATAAATAAAAATAAATAAAAATAAATAAAAATAAATAAAAATAAATAAAAATAAATAAAAATAAATAAAAATAAATAAAAATAAATAAAAATAAATAAAAATAAATAAAAATAAATAAAAATAAATAAAAATAAATAAAAATAAATAAAAATAAATAAAAATAAATAAAAATAAATAAAAATAAATAAAAATAAATAAAAATAAATAAAAATAAATAAAAATAAATAAAAATAAATAAAAATAAATAAAAATAAATAAAAATAAATAAAAATAAATAAAAATAAATAAAAATAAATAAAAATAAATAAAAATAAATAAAAATAAATAAAAATAAATAAAAATAAATAAAAATAAATAAAAATAAATAAAAATAAATAAAAATAAATAAAAATAAATAAAAATAAATAAAAATAAATAAAAATAAATAAAAATAAATAAAAATAAATAAAATAAATAAAAATAAATCAAAATAAATTAATAATTATTAATTGTTAGGCAAACCAAATCCTGCCAAATTCAGCAGCGCGTCGAGAGGTTCCTGGAAGGATAGTTACAATATCAGCTGGGCAGTGGAATCGCTGAGTCCAATAGAGGAATACAAGTTACTTTTTAGAAGACTGCCCGAAACAAATTCTGAAGACGGTCATCCGCAACCATTGCATCATCAAAGCCAGAGAAAGTTCGGACCTGGAAAGGTAGGCGAAATAAGAAAGTTTTATGTAATTTATCCCTCTTCTATTTACACATATCAACCTTGTTATTTTTTCGAAACAAACCGAATTGTAATGGAAGTCGGTGGAAGAGTGTCACAGAAATTTACTTGGTAAACTCAGAAAGCCTCGTATTTAAGTAGGTCATAACTCTAGTCTCCTATGCCAGTTTAGAGATATTAAATTTATTTCCTGGTAGTCATAGAAACGATGTGTAATTATTATGGACGCTAATGGTTCATTAGGATAAAGTGAGATTGAATTTTTAATGACTCAAACAATAATTTTCACTTGGATAGCAACTGGTTAACCATGTTTGGAAATATCTAGCTGGAAACTATTAAATGCGAGTTCTCGTAATATAATGAAACTAATTTCCTATAAAACCTAACACGTTTCGGTATAATTACCTACTTTAATACATCACCGATAGAGTTAATTAAACCGTATGAATATTTAAAAGCGGTAGTGGATGAATTGCAGTTATATTTAGTAGCAGATAAAATGAATTTCGGGATATCTACAGGAAAGCTTTAGTAAATGGATTTTGATATAACCCTGAGTTTAATTAAAATAAGACGTTAGTGTGGAAAGATTCAAATAATAATTAGTCGTGGTTGTAAGTTTTGGATTGACTACTAAAAGTTTACCAAATTTATTTGGTTGATGACCTGACATCATTTCTTGTGTTTTAATAACTCATATCAGTGATACTTTATCGGAGATTGATGTTGAACGAGACGAAAATTCTTTAATATCGATTTAGTACCAACAGGATCAAATTTAAAATGATAGCTTTCATTAGAAGCGTCCATAAAGTCAGTCGATACAGAAAATAAATATCGACCATCGAATAGCTTTTAACGCTTTGCTGTAACCCAAGGGCGAATTGAATTACCGTCGAAGAGGGTGGAAATGTAACGGTCCGCGTTCGGAAAAGGTTAGTGATCACGTTTAAGTGGAACATCAGTTGCTTGTCTGGATTAATACCGGGAATTTTTTTTTATCGAGATATGCAATATATTTTATTGGCAGACAGATACAGAATAATAAAACGGAAAACAGTGGATTAATGGGCCTTATAACGGGTATAAAGGAATATAAATGGGATGGAAATTTGGTATTTTTATCATTAATTATTAAAAAATTTAATAATATATCGCTATATCAATTTTACTTTATATACATTCTTAATTGACTATACTTATATTCTCATACATTCTTAACACTTATATCTACTTAATTTGTTAATGTTTGCCTTATATTAACACTTTTAAGTAAAGTCAATTCATGTGTACTGTTTTTTTTTTTTTTCAAAAATCGTGCAATAATACTTCAGGTCATAGAAACAGGGCTAGGAAACTGGTTTGGGACGTTTTTCGCAAGGAACGATGCTAAATAGGTGTAAAATATATAAAATAAGAGAATCATTACAAATTAGATAAAAAAGCAAAATAGACAACAAATAGTCTAAGAAAATTTTCTATTTTGAATAATCTCGAATTACGGAAAAATCGTTTTTTAATAGAAATTTTAAGTAATGACGCTAAATAGGTAGCAAAATAATATAAATTCATTATAAATTAAATAAAAAATCAAGATGGACAATTAATATCCCAAAAATCTTTAATATTTCCAAAAAAACGTTGCCTTTATTTCGTCACTATTTCCAAACAGATTTATAAACTTCAAAATTTTAAAAAATATTATTCTGCAAACAACATTGTCATATTTTAACATGTTGAAGTTAGAGAGTGTCAAAGTTGACTTCTTATTTGTTATAAATTTGACGTTGGTGACTTATTTCGTCACTATTTCCAAACTAATAGATTTATAAACTTTAAAACTTCAGAAAATACTTATAAAAAGTGTAGAAACATTATTCTGCAAATAACATTGTCAAATTTTAACATATGTTGAAGTTAGAGAGTGTCAAAGTTGACTTCTTATTTGTTATAAATTTGACGTTGGAGCCTTTATATCGTCACTATTTCCAAACTAATAGATTTATATACTTCAAAATTTCAGAAAATACTTATAAACAGTGTAGAAATATTATTCTGCAAACAACATTGTCAAATTTTAACATATTATAATTAGATTAGGTTTATATTTTATATTTATAATAAAGCTAGTAATATATTTTTTAAGGAAAATAAAACATACGCGGCGGTGGGCTACAGCGTAGGTTACGGTTATGGGAGGCAATTCGTAGACAGACGAACAGATTGGAGGGATGTAATTTTGCCCGCCGCTCCCACTCAATCTCCCGGAGTTCAATCTATGAGCTACGTAATTCGAGGATTAGAATCCGGACAAAATTACGAAGCCAAAGTTCAGGCCAGGAACAAATTCGGATGGAGTCCCATTTCGGAGGCCTTCACGTTTCAAACGACTGATACAGGTCAGTATGAATTTATTAGGATAACCGGGATATCGGGAGAATATTACGGCGTAAACAGTTTTGCGGTTGATAGGTATTAAAGCGGAACGAACTTGTCCGGTGTGTAACAACTTTTGGCCTAGGGATTTATTAAAATTACTCTCAAAAGGTTTCATCCTAAATGTATAATAATTTTCTTTAAAAAAAAAAGCAAAAAAATAATAAAGAATTCGATTTTGAATAAGCATTATGAAATATTTTGTTTTAAAATGTTTATTTCATCCTAAATATATAACGATGTCCTTAAAAAAAAGCGAAAAATAACAACAGACGATTCTATTTTGATTAAAAATTATGAAAAATCTTATTTTTAAAATTGAAAATGTTTTAAAAATTCAAAAAAATATTTTATATTGTTGGTTTCATTCTAAATATATAAACGTTTTCTTTAAATAAAGTTAAAAATTAAAACAACTATTCGATATTTATTAAAAATTATGAAAAATGCTATTTGGAAAATATTTTTCTGCAATAGATGGTTTTATTATGGATTTCGAACTTCCGGTATCAATCAGGAATTTTATGGACGGGTTTTTAATGTCTACATAATAAAAATAAATAAAAATAAATAAAAATAAATTAAAATAAATTAAAATAAATTAAAATAAATTAAAATAAATTAAAATAAATTAATAATTATTAATTGTTAGGCAACGACTATTTTGAATACAAATTATAAAAAATGTGGTTTTAAAAATTGAAAAATGTTATAAAAATTAAAAAATGTTTATATTGTTGGTTTCATTCTAAATATATAACGATTTCCTTAAAAAAAGAACAGAAATAAAAACGAATATTCGATTTTGAATAAAAATTATTATGAAAAAAGTGGTTTTAAAAATTAAGAAATGTTTTAAAAAATTGAAAAATGTTTTAATAATTAAAAAAATGTTTTAAAAATTGAAAAAATGTTTTCTAATGATGGTTTCATTACAAATATATAACGTTTTCCTTAAAAAATGCTAAAAATAAAAGTAATTATTCTAATTTGGTTAAAAATTATGTAGAAAGTTGTTTTAGAAATTAAAAAATGTTTTACAAATTAAAAAATGTTTTAAAAATTGAAAAATATTCATCCTAAATATTTAACAATTGTCTTAAAAAATGTCAAAAATAAAAGTAATTATTCGATTTTGATTAAAAATTATGAAAAATGCTGTTTTAAAAAATTGAAAAATTTTGTTTTAAAAATTAAAAAGTGTTTTAAAAATTGAAAAAATGTTTAGTATTGTTGGTTTCATCATAAATATTTAACGATTTCCTTCAAAAATGCCAAAAATAAAAGTAATTATTCGATTTTGCTTAAAAATTATGAAATATGTTGTTTTAAAAATTGAAAAATGTTTTATATTGTTATACAATCTTTTTAATTATTGTTAAATTGTCCATAATTTTATTCTAAGCATAATACGTTTAGTTTATTGATAATACATTGTCTTATAAGTGAATCCTTATGAATTGCTTATTTATTAAAAAAAGTATCACGCCTTTCTTTATGAGTCATAATATTTCACGATCTGTCAAATTAACAACTGTAAAACGTAAATTTTATTATCTAGTGCTACATATGTCGTATTGTTCATAATATTCTTCATAATCATCTTTATATACTTATACTCTTATATTCTATACTCATATATTATACTCTTTTACTCCTATAATATTATACTATTATATTATATACTCATATTTTATACTATTATACTCTTATACTCTTATGCTTTTATGCTCTTATACTCTTATACTCCACTCTTCAAACCCTTAACACTCTTAATACTCCTCATATGCTTCATACTCTTCATACTTTTCATACTCTTCATACTCTTTATACTCTTCATACTCTACTCTTCATATACTTCATAGTTTGATAATAATGAAAAATAATCTTTAATAATCGATCTTTTTCTTCTTCAGACATGTCTTATCCAGACCGACCGCAATCTCCAAAACATGTATACAATGGTAAGTATATATTTTTGATGCTTACTTAAATAATTTTACTAGCCCAAACAATTATTTTATAATTAAGTAGGTATTAAAAAAACACAATTATAGATCATGGTTTAAGTAAGAATTGCTTGTCCTGAGGGAGAAGAGAATGTGCATCGATTAGAGTTGTAATCTAATGTCTTAAAATTTGTCAATTCTATAATCATAGCTAGAAATATGTAAATTAAGAGTTTTCTGACTTGAACACATCTTTCTTTCCAGTGTTTTCAATTTTTAATTGGTGCTGTTTTCAACTTGACATTTTGATGATGGATTCCTTCATTTATACATTTTACACATCTCTAGATGTCACTTTAATAAAAGCCCTTCACGCTTCAATATATATATCTCAATATTTTTACGAGAAATTCCATACGTCAAAGTAACAACACTCGATTTTTAAGGATTTTAATTTTCACTGGCTTTAAAAATTCTCATGAAAATCTTGAGATAATTCACTTTCTCTCTAATTTGAAAATATTCCCCCAGATGTGAATCGGTTCGAGTTCTTCACGTTGAGTTTTGGACTGAATCGGTGGACTGTACATTTTAAATTTCACAAAAATCGTAGCGTCAAGTAAAACGACAATCATCATGCTATGTAGGAAAAAGTGAATTGCATGCTTCGTCTTGAAGATAAGAAAGAACATTTTATTTTTGATATTCTCTATTCCTGTATAAAATAAAGAGTAAAAGAGTCGATCTAAGAAAATGAGAAATTCTAATTTATTTAAAAGGATTCTTCATTTCAAGTAATGCATTTTAGCTTGCGTTTACGTAAGATATAAGTGTAGAATTTTTAATTGATTTCGGTATATCGTTCTTTTAGAATAAGAGGGTTACATCTCAAAAACAATAATTTTACAAGAGCAAATTAAAATAATTTGGTAAGCCTAAAAACTAGTGGTGCTGTCAAGCTAACTTAATCCCTTTTTTCCTATAAAACATGAGATAATTTTAAAAAGATTCTCGTTGAAATCTCAAAATTGAAGTTTTTTGAGATCTAACCCTTTTTTTTCCAAATAAACGATATGTTATTTTTAATTAAACTATTTTAGCTACATTTCTTTCTGTTAACTAACTAACTATATTCACGTATTTTGTCGGGACGCATATTGAGGTAGTTTCGTTTTACTACCACATGTTTGGTAAACACCCAGGAATCCGTTAAATAAATATTTACATAAACGGAAATTTCGCTGTAACCTGAAAATGAAGTACACGGTCTTGGATATCCAAATAGAACCGAATAACCCTTCAACTCTATCACAATATCATGTAGGTAGTTTTAAATACACGGTCATTGAAATCTGTAGGTCGGAGTTATCAAACTTTTCGATAGGCAAACCGAATTTATTAAATATTTAATAAAAGAGTGAGTTGGCATTGACATGAAATTGATATGCCTTTCATATGACATACGACATTAATTTGACATTGATATGACTTTCATACGATATTGATATGTGATGATATAACATATGATATGACATGGATATAATAATAACAATAACTTTATTTTTTATAAGATCAAAATACATGATATAAGACAAGTTGAAAGAAAAATATATAAATATTAAAAATACAGCAATATAGTTACATTAAAAATATAAATAAAATTGTGAACAATCAAAACGTGAAATCTAATTATTTTTTGACCGAAAAAAACAGTTATCCATCAATAGCAAAATTTTAACAATTTCTAACACTATTTTATCTCTCGAGTAATTTTTATCAACATTTTTTATCTTTATAGCAATGTTTAAACAATGTTTTATCTGTCGAGAAATGTTTAACAGTATTTTTTAATTCTCGAGTAATTTTTGAACAAGATTTTAACAATAATTTATAATACTATTTTATTTTTAAACATTCTTAGATATCTTTTTAAACAATATTTTATCCTTCGATAAATTTCTAACATTATTCTATATCTCGAGCAATTTTTATCTCTTTAGCAAACTGCACAATATTTTAACTCTCAACAAACTTATTACAATATTTTAACTCTCGATAAATTTATAACAATGTTTTATGTCTCGAGCAATTTTTAACAACTTTTTTTATCTCTCGAGCAATGTTTGTACATTTTATCTCTCGAGCATGAGAAAATTTCACCTCTGTACCAACAATCTCATACTGTAACGAAACTGACGTTTCCTTTATAATAGAAATTTCTTTAATACTTATGCTTAAACTGGATTTATACATAATTAGTACACCTCCATTAATATGTCATAATTTGACATTAAAATAACATTGACATTAATATTACGTTCATAAAATACAGGGAATATTCTTATAACTGTAAAAAAATTAATGATAAATTTAAATATTATGAATTCCAAGGTGATGTAAATCTAACTTTAATCATAAATGTTTGCTATGATGAGTAAAATTTAATTAATATAAATAACTTTAATTTTTTTTGCATATTTTATATATCTCTAATAAATTGTTTTTTCCAAATGATTAAAAAATTATTTTCAGTATTTCCCTGATAGTTTAGCAATTTTCGAGTTATGGAAAGAAAATATTTTTGGTTTGAAACTTCAGAGCTATAACTTTTATTCTAATAAATTTTATATAGACCTATTTTTAACACCAAAATATCTTGTTCTGTTGATATAAATTTCTACTTTTCTACCAACCATCATTTTGTCAATTCATAATTAAATAGCAAATAACGTGTTAAATGTTTCATTATTAAAAAAAATGTTTTGCTGTATTTCGTAAAACCTCGCTATTTTTAAAGCACCTGTCCACACTACTCGTATGTTTCTAATGCAATATGGCATTGACATTTTCCATCACGGAATTATTAATGGCAACCAGTCTGTGATTAATTATCGCAAATATATATCACTTTAACATCGTTATTTGAGAAGTTAATATTTCCCAACGGTATATATTAAACCTTTTCACTTAATCATATTTAATGACCTTTTAAATGGTTTTCCTGGGAAATATATCGGGATTGTTATTTAAATTTTAAACCGAAAATATATTTTTCTGTTTTTTTAATCACTAGTTCCATATCTATAAAAAGAGTTTAAACATATATCCGAGTCTCGTTTGAAAATTGATTATTTTTTTATTTATACATTATTTTTTATTTATATATAGACTTTTTCGGACATAATGGACCATTAAAATCCATTAAAATTCATTAAAATTCATTAAAATTCATTAAAATTCATTAAAATTCATTAAAATTCATTAAAATTCATTAAAATTCATTAAAATTCATTAAAATTCATTAAAATTCATTAAAATTCATTAAAATTCATTAAAATTCATTAAAATTCATTAAAATTCATTAAAATTCATTAAAATTCATTAAAATTCATTAAACTTCATTAAACTTCATTAAACTTCATTAAACTTCATTAAACTTCATTAAACTTCATTAAACTTCATTAAAATCCATTAGACTCCATTAAAATTCATTAAAATCCATTAAAATTCTTTAAAATTCATTAAAATCCATTAAAATCCATTAAAATCCATTAAAATCCATTAAAAGCCATTAAAAATCTATTAAAATTCATTAAAATAAGAATAATAAAATGGATATCATTTAACTAACACCCAATAGACAAATGCTGCATCATCCTCTTAGATATCTACCACCATTCTTTCCACCCCATTCTTTGAGACCCGATCCTTGAATCTTCGTACTTATATAGAAGTAAATTTTCAAAAAAAAACTAATATTGAATATATTTCTTGATAAAAATATTAAAATGTACGTTTCACCGCCCTTTGTAATAGATTTTCGAAATGTTCACCCTGATGAAATAATATTATTGAAACCAAATTAGCATATTATTAAGCAACTTTCGAAGATACGCAAAGGGATGTGCGTGGCTGAATATGTTACATCAAGTTAGTTAACATAAACTCTACACACATAGCCAAAAGGAAAACTATTCTACCGGAAATAATATTAATTTCCTGACTTAGGAATCTTCCAGGTGCGTAAGAAAGATCATTAATTCGAACAACTGAGATTATACAAGATGTTTTTGTTGTCTGATTGTATTTTGATGTTTATCTTTGTAGGAGGAATTAATGGCGTATAAATTTCTTTTCATTTCAAAATAATTTTTACACAAAATGTATTTAAGAAAATAGAAAAGTAATGAAACACAATTATTGATATAATAATACAATAAATTGGATGAATTCGTATTAATGTAGGATTTTTTTATTCATTTTATTTAAACTCTATTACTAGGAAAGTTTTACAACCATTTATATAGAGAAGAAACGTAACCGGCCCAACTACGGTGCCTTGTGGAACACCTACTTTTAGATATTCTTGTTCGATAATACATAATTATTGAATTAGGATAAAATGTTTTTTTTATATATAAATTAGACAAATCCAAAAATATGCCACTTGTTCCCATATTTCCAAAATACTAATAAATTCTGACAATTTGTCGTATTGAATCTCTTTAAATAATATTCTAAAACTAAACTAATTGTTACTTAATAACTTATGTTTTAAAATAAATACTTGCACGTAAAATTTGTTAAAATTTATTATTAGACATTAAAATTTATCAATTCTTGAAATTTATTAAAACCTATTAAAATCATTTATTAAAATCTATTAAAATCTATTCAAATCTTTTCAAATCTATTCAAATCTGTTAAAATCTTTTAAAATCTATTAAAATCTATTAAAATCTATTAAAATCTATTAAAATCTATTAAAATCTATTAAAATCTATTAAAATCTATTAAAATCTATTAAAATCTATTAAAATCTATTAAAATCTATTAAAATCTATTAAAATCTATTAAAATCTATTAAAATCTATTAAAATCTATTAAAATCTATTAAAATCTATTAAAATCTATTAAAATCTATTAAAATCTATTAAAATCTATTAAAATCTATTAAAATCTATTAAAATCTATTAAAATCTATTAAAATCTATTAAAATCTATTAAAATCTATTAAAATCTATTAAAATCTATTAAAATCTATTAAAATCTATTAAAATCTATTAAAATCTATTAAAATATATTAAAATATATTAAAATCTCTTAATATCTATTAAAATCTCTTAATATCTATTAAAATCCATTAAAATTCATTAATATGCATTAAAATCCTTTAAATTTATTTAAAATTCATTAAAATTCATTAAAATCCTTTAAAATCTAATCTATTATAATTTATTATAATCTAATCTATTATAATCTATTATAATCTAATCTATTATAATTTATAGTAATCTATTATAATCTATTATAATCTATTATAATCTATTATAATCTATTATAATCTATTATAATCTATTATAATCTATTATAATCTATTATAATCTATTATAATCTATTATAATCTATTATAATCTATTATAATCTATTATAATCTATTATAATCTATTATAATCTATTATAATCTATTATAATCTATTATAATCTATTATAATCTAATCTATTACAATCTATTATAATCTATTAAAATCCATTAAAATCTATCGAAATCTATCGAAATCTATTAAAATCTATTAAAATCTATTAAATCTATCAATATCTATCAAAATTTATCGAAATCTATTAAAATCTTTTAAAATCTATTAAATTCTATAAAAATCTATCAAAATTAAGTACTATAAGAATTTATATCATTAAACGAACGTACAATAGGCAAATGCTGAATCATCTTCTTAGATACCTAACACCATTCTTTTACTTTATCCTTTTAGATCCGATCCTTTAGTCCTCTAATGTGGCTAAAGACAATCCTATAGCGGTCCTCTTCCAACTGAGAAAATTAAATACATAACCTTTATATTTTTACCCTTTTGCCATTAAACGTAAAAAGGAAAAAATTAACTCGGCTTTAAACTCTATTCAATAGGTCTATAGATAGAATGTGAAAAAAACTCCTGTTAACATTTTTTTTTTTTAATACTTTTTCAACAAATTTCGCCAATGATGTAATTACCGAAAATGGTCTTTTTCCCTTTCTTAAATAAGGATTTAATTAAAGCAGTTTTAAAATGGTCGGGAAAAATAACAGTCTGAAAAATTTTATTAATTAGATATACTGTCAGTTTTTTTCATCAAAACTTAACTTTTCATTTGACAATAATTATATTTTTCAGAAATAAAATATTTGTGTAGAATGAAGTAAAAAATAAACTGGTTATGTTTTATTGTAGAGGATACTAAACAATCATGAATGTAATAAAAAAGAAAACAAGTATTAATAATACTTTAAATTTTCTAATCAAACATAAACCCTGCAGAATATTTCACTTAATTTTATATCTAAACAATGTCAAGGTTGTCATAAAACGTAACACAATTTTACTGCTAATAAAGTCGAACGATTGTCCCTAAAACTTTATGAAACATCACGAAATGTAATATCAAGATAGATTCGAGACATCTGAGACTATAACTTCGACACGGTATTTAATTTTATGAATGCAATAAGCTAAAACGATGTTAGAATTTTGTTAAACTTAATGATTATAAAGACACCTAATAAGAGAATTTTACAGGAATGCTTTAATAATTATAATTAAATGCGAATAAATGGTGAAAAAGATGTAGATTTAAAAGTGATCCATTAAAATTTATTAAGTACTATAAGAATAACAAAATGGATACCATTAAACTAACACGCAATAAACAAAATCCATTGAAATCTGTTAAAATCCATTAAAATCGATTAAAATCCTTTAAAATTCATTAAAATCTTTTAAAATCCATTAAAAACCATTAAAATGCATTAAAATTCTTTAAAATCCATTAAACTCCTTTAAAATCCATTAAAATCTATTAAAATTCTTTAAAATCGATTAAATTCCATTAAAATCCATTAAAATCCATTAAAATCCATTAAAATTCATTAAAATACATTAAAATTCATTAAAATACATTAAACTCTATTATGTAAAACATCATAAATTATTTGTTGATAGTCTAATTTTTGATAATTTCTAATTACTTCATTTATATTTGATTAATTATTATTTATCTACGGTGTCAAACGATTTAATTCTAATTTTTTTAAGATAATCGCTAATATTAATTCTTTCTTGTGACTTGTGTAAATAAAAGTATTGTGTTATATTTTCAACACAAATGTCTTTCGAAGATATACCTGTATTTCAAACATTTTACTACTTTTTTAAATCTTTTTGTATTAATTTATATAATTTTTATTACAGAACACGATATGCACCATGAAATCCTGGGAATCACACTCAACACAGCAACAAATCTCTCATCTTCATGTGGAATCATCTCTCCGGTCATAATAGTATATATTGTATTATCTAAATGTATTTCTTAAGCTGTGTATGTGCTCTTAGATATATTTCAGAAGTATATATATTTTCCATATGAGATAAACAAATTCACTGATAGGATGCACACACCAAAACTTATTACGTTACTCACATTTATATAAGCGTAACAATTAAATTTATGTGAATATGATGCTGCTATAAATTCGGAGCTATGTGCACTTATTTACTTATAGTATAGATATATGAAAAAAGTTATTTTGGTCTTTTGTACATCTTGGATATTTATTTGTTTTTGCTCGAAAAGAAATTCTAAAAACAAAGCTATAACTTCTATAAAAAAAAAATATGTTATAGGTAATTAGTAATTTTGGATTTTAATATTTTTTTTTCTCTATTTTCAGAAACAAAAATAAATTAAAAACCTTCGGGACAAATCTCAAATAAATAACTATCAATATTTAAAAATCTCATCGGATCCTTTTACATTGCAATATGTTTCTAATTAAATGTTTTAAATATAAATAAATATATTTTTTTGAGTTGGAAACATCTTTCAGAAACAGAGCTCTAATTTAAATAACTATAACATATTTATTTAAATAAATATAAATTTAAATATTAAACAGAACTATTTTTAATTGTCACTGCTGGTAATTTCACAGTTTCACATTTTTTATCTGTGTTAATAGTGTAGGTAATTAAAAAATTCAACTTATACGTTTACTACAAGCAATTTTGAGTGTTATATTTTAAAAATGATAGAACTATATGTGTTATAATATATTAGAATGTATTATTTAAATCATACTGAATTATTGGAGCAACTAAAAATGAGTTAAGAATTTTTTTTTGATTGAAAATTTGTTTCAAAATGAACTTTTTTTGAAAATACACTTTAATATACGTGAGTTCTATATATTTTAAAATACATTTTTATATATTATGTTAGTATTATAAGGACCAGAAGTTGAATTTACTGTGAGCAAATAGTATATTAGTCCAATCAAATTAAACTTTAAGAAAAAAATAAATGTAACCTTGGTTGGGGTTGAACTAAAATGTTAGAAAGTTTAAAAGTGGTGAAAAATTGTATTGTATGGTGTTATCGGAATTTCCAGCAAAAGTTGACGTCGAAAACAAAAATTTATAATGTAAAATTTGTAGATCAAACAAAAATCTACAGCAAAAATTAACATAACCTCAACATTTTCAATTTAAATGTAAAAGTTCGTTACTTCAAAAATAATTTAATTTTGATGAAATTTGGTTAAATTACACTTTTATATGTCATAAATAAGCGCAAATTTTTTTTTTAATAAAAAAAATCCAAAATATTTCGCTTGAACGAATGCCTACCGGTCTTTTACCGGTAGACCGACACGACGGCCTGATCCGACACTGGATAGAATTAATACCTACTTTATAAAATAGGTGATATTGTAAATAATCATTTCATATATTTTTAAAAACAATTTGTACAATATTTATTTTCATTTCTTTTAAAAATAAATATAAACTGTCACTGTCACGACCCTCATATTATAACATTATATTTAAAAAGGCATGCGACATTACGATGTCGACTGGTTGAATACCACTCGATTTTATGTCTAACAACAAATGTCGAATTCGCCATTCCAAGATACGTTTTTGCATTTTTATTCGACATTTCATCAATGTCGCGTGCGACATTTAGAAATAGACATTGGAGAATAGGGCCCCTGGTCGCTCATCATCAAAAACAGATGTACGACCACGTTTAAATTTGTTGAACCAATATCTTACGGTTGTCATAGATGGTGAAAGGTCCTCATACTTTGCTTTTATTTCATCGCATAGTTTTTCCATCCAAAAATAAAAAGCGAATTACGGATCTATATTGTTCTTTTTCCATTTTATCGATTAATAGAAACACGTATGGTACAATTGGCTGCCAAATAAAAACCAACCTATGAATCGGTTTTAAACTTAGTATGGTGTCGTGTGACAGATGACAGTACACGACAGTAATGCCAACTTCCCTCAGCAACGCCACCTACCTTCAAACGCGGGTACTTATTAATCCACCCTCGTATTTTGAGGTTATGTTAAAATGTGATCTCTACAAACGTTGTAGATTTTTGCCCTAATCTACAAGCGTTTGTTTTTGATGTCAACTTTCGCTGAAAATCGCGATTATACAATTTTTCACCCCTTTTCAAGCCCCTAAAACTTCATTTCAACCTCCCCTCAGGTTGCATTTTTTAAATTTATTTATTATAAGCCCCTCTACAATTTATACTCATTAAAGTCCTGTTAACAATCTTTTTTCTTACATTTTAATTTAATTGGACCAAGTAATGTCTTATCTAATTACTTCTGGTTAACTGTCGACTTTTAGGTCCTATATATATTTTTTAATTAACTAAAATTCCCTTTAAATATCGATTTTAATTATCATTGATATCAACTCATTATTAAATTATTTAAAATTTATAAGTATCACAAATAATTTCCAACTTCTTATCATTTAATGGTATTTTCAAATATTTATAAATTATTTTAATTATTTCCCATTTTAAATTGCAATTTTTCCAATAATTCAGTAATTTTTATAAATGTAAATACACATTATATAAAAAAAGCTGAAAATTTTATTTTATATATATAAATGTTGTATACGTATAAATTGTAAGCTATCAGGATTAACATTAATTATTTTCTCATTAATATTTGTAATTAAACACAAATATTTTAAATATTCAAGCTCTATTTTAAATCTCTATTATTGTTAAAGCTTTAATTTTTATTAATATGAAAATATAAAGTTTTAACGATTAATTTATGCATTTTTCACAAAGGGGTCCAAAATAGCCTACTCTTTTTTATGTTGTGTACCCAAAGCACAGTGTACTACAAAAATTTTATATCAAGATTAATTTTTTATATATTTTAATCTGAAGTTTATTTAATACAACAAATTTTAGCACATTTGTGGTGCTCGAGTTTCGAATTTTACTTAACGACCATTTGTTATTCGTTTTAGAATAATAATATAAATTTTTGTACTACAAACTTACCCTGATTTTTCATCCCTTAATTGTGAGCCTGCCATATATACGTACCTATGCTAAATTATTGTAAATAATAACCAAATAGATGCTTTCAACATATTTCTACTTATCTATATACACAGTATTAATGTAAATAATTAAGTGTATTTTAAATTCTAAAATTAATTAGATGTAAGTTAAAGTAAGGGCTCGACAAGAGCTTTATATGTGATGCAGATGGTGAGTTAAAGCTCCGTGTCTATTTAGATATGATTATTTTTGTTATTGTAAAAAAATTTTTGCTTTTTATTGTCCTAGTTAGTACGTTCTGGAAACTCAGTCACTAAAAATATATTTAAAACTGTTTTCGAGAATATATTTTTCAAACTTTTGAAATTATTTATGTAAATAACTATTATTTGATTGTATAATATTTGTGTGCAGGTATTTAAAAAGTATATTGCGATTATATCAACTGATTTTTCTAATAATCGATAATATACAGGGTGTTATTGAAATACACGTACATATTAAAATGGGGAATAGTATGTAATGACCAAAAATGATTGGCACCAATTTTAACTTCAAATTCTAAAATTTAAATATTGGGGAAGAGTCCCCTTTTCCGACCTACTAGTTTCCATATTTAAAGAAGTAAATAAAATAAATCGAAATTGAACTTACCCATAGAAATTGCACTGTTGCCGTAGCAAAACCAATTAATTCAAAATAAAGTTTATTATTTTTATTATTATTTACACACACTTGCAATCGTCTTTCCAAAGAACTTTGAACATTAGAAATTAGTCTTGGATTTTGTCGTAGTTCCTCGGCTACCGCATTAACTTTATTGGTTAATTGTTCAACACTATTAATAGGTTCATTATAAACCAGTTGTTTCATGTGACCCCACAAAAAGAAATCGCATGGATTTAAGTCCGGAGATCTCGGAGGCCACTTAGTAGGTCCATTTCTGCCTATCCACTTTTGAGGAAATCTAATGTTCAAAAACTGCCGTACGTTTAAATCAAAGTGAGGAGGAGCGCCATCTAGTAGGTACCACATCCGTTGCCTTAATTGTAACGGTATCTCTTCTAGGAGTACTGGCAAAATATCTTCTAAAAAGTGGAGATATCCTGGCCCATTTAATCTGTTCGGGAGAACATAAGGCCCGATTAAATACTGATCTATTATGCCAGCCCAAGCATTTATTGAAAATTTTCTTTGATGCCCAGTTTTCCTAATGGCGTGAGGATTTTCATCACTCCAAATATGCGTATTGTGCATATTGAACACGCCATCACGAGTGAATGAAGCCTCGTCAGTATACAATAATATTTTTAGAAAATCAGGAATATCAACACATTTTTGAATCATCCATTCACAAAACTCCACTCTCTTTTCTTCATCACCTGGATATAAGGCCTGGACTTTTTGGATGTGATAAGGATGTAAACCTTGTTCTTTAAGTGTCCGCCACACAACAAATGAGGACACTCCAATTTCAAGACCTAGTCTTCTACAACTTAATTGAGGCCGGTTTTCAACAGCTTCCAATGTTTCTTCTTCGGCCGCCAATGTTCTTTGTGTTCTTGTTCTCCCTCGATCTGCATTGACACTCTCAAATTTTCCATGGTCTCTTAGATGCTGAACAGTTGAAATAAACGTACGACAGTCCGGAATTCTCCGATTTGGAAACCGTTCGCGATACAGGATTTGTGCTTGCCGAGAATTTTCTCCAGCTGCCCCATAAACCAGCACTATATCCGTTAGTTCAATATTCGTAAATAGTGGCATCGTAAAAAAATATTTAAAAGTAATCGTAACAACACTTTTTACCAACTTGGAAATGACGCGCTCGTGTTAGCCAGATTCGTAAATCAACTAAAATTTTAATAATCTATAGTTTCAAAAATGTATAGTTTAAAAACAATCATTTATCAAATTAATTCGAAAAACTTGGCAACATGGTTATTTCTTACAAGACTAGTTTTCTTATCATCTGACAAAAACTTGCATATTAATTACTGTTGATGTTTAAAATAGGTAAATAAACCTAATTTATATAGGTCATCCTCAACATATCAGTGAAGTACGTTTGTTTTAGAATTAATTTTCAAAAATTAATAACTCCCTTAATAAGGGGTATTTTTAAAAAATAATATTTTTCTACATTCAGTGGGGATCTGCGCAATACCCAGTTTTAATATGTACGTGTATTTCAATAACACCCTGTATAAATAAGATGTTTTTTTTTACTTTTTCCTTTTTGTTAAAAGATCGTAACAACCTTTTAAATCTAAAATTTCTATATTAATAGAGAATTACGAAAATCAGTCGATTATATTTTATAAATATGTAATTAGTTCCACTAATCAAAACTTAAACGTTACACCAAAAATGTTTAAATGAAAACTTCTTTTTTTAGTGACTAAGTTGTGAATTAGAAAGTCTGTTTCGTGTCCTTTGTGAAACAAAGGTAGTGAATGTACCTCTTTCCCGTACTGTAAGCTACATCATTGTGAATAAATGTTAGTCACTAAATGTGCTAAAATCGAAAGCGAAAGTTTTTAGTGCCCAAAAGACATTTAAAGAATGTAGGAATTGTTTATAATGAAGATATGGATATATTTGTATAATGCCGAATTTGGATGTGTGAAATAAAGGAACTGATCATAAAATTTAACTAATAAACCATGTTTATATTATAATACTTGTTTTATTTATTTTTGTTTGAATATTCCTAATTTATATGGCTTATCTATTCTAATAGAAATTAAAATAGATGTCAGTAATTAAATTTCGAAACGTTATTCAACGACGAAGATCACAATTCTTAAAATATTCATGTGAAATTTTGGTAAGACCATATAAAAGAGTGCACAACAAATTAAGGAGCGAACGGCAGTTGCGCTTTCTGAATTTTTTCAAAAGTTTTCGTCAATTTCAGATTTCATAGACGAAAAAAATTTACTAGTCATTTTTTTTATCTAAAAATGTGGACAAAACATGGCGAAAGCAATACATTTTTACACGGTCACGCCATCTATCGACAAATTTACAAACAAGGAGTAGTTAATAATAGAATACTGTTTTGATATGTTCCTTGTTTTGACAACTTGCCAGTAGATGGCGCCAACAGTATAACTAACTAGAGTACGGCCATTTTATATCCATAAAGTATTTTTGTCTTCGATTTCACTAAAATTTGATATAGAGAATACAGAATCAATATGTAAAACGTAATGTCGGAATGGTGTCTGTTACTCAATATCTCTCCTCGTTCAAAAGTTGCTCCGATTTGGACGAAACGTTGTATGCAGTGAGTAGAAGACAAGTACGTTTGAAAAAACTCACCTGCAGTTCTCTAAGTTTGCTAATTATCACAAAACAAGCCTCTACTTTTTAACCACTTATGTTAGCGAGAAACAGACTGTTTTTCTGAACGTTTTGGAGCGCATACTGTTCACTGTCCGATTTTCAGCTCAATCGGAGACCATGAATTTTTCGAAAAAAAAACGAAAGGGTATAGCCTTCAAAAATTTTTGCATAAAAATTTTTTCGTCTTCGATTTCGCTGAAATTTGGTACAGAGAATCAGGATGTAAAACTAAATGTCGGAGTGGTGTCTGTTGCTCAATATCTCTCTTCGTTCAAAAGTTGACAAAAGTTGCTCCGATTTGGACGAAACGTTGTATGCAGTAAGTAGAAGACAAGTACGTTTGAAAAAACTTACCTGCAGTTCTCTAAGTTTGCTAATTATTACAAAACAAGCCTCTACTTTTTGACCATTTATGTTAGCGAGAAACAGACTGTTTTTCTGAACGTTTTGGAGCGCATACTGTTCACTGTCCGATTTTCAGCTCAATCGGAGACCATGAATTTTTCGGAAAAAAAACGAAAGGGTATAGCCTTCAAAAATTTTTGCATAAAAATTTTTTCGTCTTCGATTTCGCTGAAATTTGGTACAGAGAATCAGGATGTAAAACTAAATGTCGGAGTGGTGTCTGTTGCTCAATATCTCTCTTCGTTCAAAAGTTGACAAAAGTTGCTCCGATTTGGACGAAACGTTGTATGCAGTGAGTAGAAGACAAGTACGTTTGAAAAAACTCACCTGCAGTTCTCTAAGTTTGCTAATTATTACAAAACAAGCCTCTACTTTTTAACCACTTATGTTAGCGAGAAACAGACTGTTTTTCTGAACGTTTTGGAGCGCATACTGTTCACTGTCCGATTTTCAGCTCAATCGGAGACCATGAATTTTTCGAAAAAAAAACGAAAGGGTATAGCCTTCAAAAATTTTTGCATAAAAATTTTTTCGTCTTCGATTTCGCTGAAATTTGGTACAGAGAATCAGGATGTAAAACTAAATGTCGGAGTGGTGTCTGTTGCTCAATATCTCTCTTCGTTCAAAAGTTGACAAAAGTTGCTCCGATTTGGACGAAACGTTGTATGCAGTAAGTAGAAGACAAGTACGTTTGAAAAAACTTACCTGCAGTTCTCTAAGTTTGCTAATTATTACAAAACAAGCCTCTACTTTTTGACCATTTATGTTAGCGAGAAACAGACTGTTTTTCTGAACGTTTTGGAGCGCATACTGTTCACTGTCCGATTTTCAGCTCAATCGGAGACCATGAATTTTTCGAAAAAAAAACGAAAGGGTATTGCCTTTAAAAATTTTTGCATAAAATTTTTTTCGTCTTCGATTTCGCTGAAATTTGGTACAGAGAATCAGGATGTAAAACTAAATGTCGGAGTGGTGTCTGTTGCTCAATATCTCTCTTCGTTCAAAAGTTGACAAAAGTTGCTCCGATTTGGACGAAACGTTGTATGCAGTGAGTAGAAGACAAGTACGTTTGAAAAAACTTACCTGCAGTTCTCTAAGTTTGCTAATTATTACAAAACAAGCCTCTACTTTTTGACCATTTATGTTAGCGAGAAACAGACTGTTTTTCTGAACGTTTTGGAGCGCATACTGTTCACTGTCCGATTTTCAGCTCAATCGGAGACCATGAATTTTTCGGAAAAAAAACGAAAGGGTATAGCCTTCAAAAATTTTTGCATAAAAATTTTTTCGTCTTCGATTTCGCTGAAATTTGGTACAGAGAATCAGGATGTAAAACTAAATGTCGGAGTGGTGTCTGTTGCTCAATATCTCTCTTCGTTCAAAAGTTGACAAAAGTTGCTCCGATTTGGACGAAACGTTGTATGCAGTGAGTAGAAGACAAGTACGTTTGAAAAAACTCACCTGCAGTTCTCTAAGTTTGCTAATTATCACAAAACAAGCCTCTACTTTTTAACCACTTATGTTAGCGAGAAACAGACTGTTTTTCTGAACGTTTTGGAGCGCATACTGTTCACTGTCCGATTTTCAGCTCAATCGGAGACCATGAATTTTTCGAAAAAAAAACGAAAGGGTATAGCCTTCAAAAATTTTTGCATAAAATTTTTTTCGTCTTCGATTTCGCTGAAATTTGGTACAGAGAATCAGGATGTAAAACTAAATGTCGGAGTGGTGTCTGTTGCTCAATATCTCTCTTCGTTCAAAAGTTGACAAAAGTTGCTCCGATTTGGACGAAACGTTGTATGCAGTGAGTAGAAGACAAGTACGTTTGAAAAAACTCACCTGCAGTTCTCTAAGTTTGCTAATTATTACAAAACAAGCCTCTACTTTTTGACCATTTATGTTAGCGAGAAACAGACTGTTTTTCTGAACGTTTTGGAGCGCATACTGTTCACTGTCCGATTTTCAGCTCAATCGGAGACCATGAATTTTTCGAAAAAAAAACGAAAGGGTATTGCCTTCAAAAATTTTTGCATAAAATTTTTTTCGTCTTCGATTTCGCTGAAATTTGGTACAGAGAATCAGGATGTAAAACTAAATGTCGGAGTGGTGTCTGTTGCTCAATATCTCTCTTCGTTCAAAAGTTGACAAAAGTTGCTCCGATTTGGACGAAACGTTGTATGCAGTGAGTAGAAGACAAGTACGTTTGAAAAAACTCACCTGCAGTTCTCTAAGTTTGCTAATTATCACAAAACAAGCCTCTACTTTTTAACCACTTATGTTAGCGAGAAACAGACTGTTTTTCTGAACGTTTTGGAGCGCATACTGTTCACTGTCCGATTTTCAGCTCAATCGGAGACCATGAATTTTTCGAAAAAAAAACGAAAGGGTATAGCCTTCAAAAATTTTTGCATAAAATTTTTTTCGTCTTCGATTTCGCTGAAATTTGGTACAGAGAATCAGGATGTAAAACTAAATGTCGGAGTGGTGTCTGTTGCTCAATATCTCTCTTCGTTCAAAAGTTGACAAAAGTTGCTCCGATTTGGACGAAACGTTGTATGCAGTAAGTAGAAGACAAGTACGTTTGAAAAAACTTACCTGCAGTTCTCTAAGTTTGCTAATTATTACAAAACAAGCCTCTACTTTTTGACCATTTATGTTAGCGAGAAACAGACTGTTTTTCTGAACGTTTTGGAGCGCATACTGTTCACTGTCCGATTTTCAGCTCAATCGGAGACCATGAATTTTTCGAAAAAAAAACGAAAGGGTATAGCCTTCAAAAATTTTTGCATAAAAATTTTTTCGTCTTCGATTTCGCTGAAATTTGGTACAGAGAATCAGGATGTAAAACTAAATGTCGGAGTGGTGTCTGTTGCTCAATATCTCTCTTCGTTCAAAAGTTGACAAAAGTTGCTCCGATTTGGACGAAACGTTGTATGCAGTGAGTAGAAGACAAGTACGTTTGAAAAAACTCACCTGCAGTTCTCTAAGTTTGCTAATTATCACAAAACAAGCCTCTACTTTTTAACCACTTATGTTAGCGAGAAACAGACTGTTTTTCTGAACGTTTTGGAGCGCATACTGTTCACTGTCCGATTTTCAGCTCAATCGGAGACCATGAATTTTTCGAAAAAAAAACGAAAGGGTATAGCCTTCAAAAATTTTTGCATAAAAATTTTTTCGTCTTCGATTTCGCTGAAATTTGGTACAGAGAATCAGGATGTAAAACTAAATGTCGGAGTGGTGTCTGTTGCTCAATATCTCTCTTCGTTCAAAAGTTGACAAAAGTTGCTCCGATTTGGACGAAACGTTGTATGCAGTAAGTAGAAGACAAGTACGTTTGAAAAAACTTACCTGCAGTTCTCTAAGTTTGCTAATTATTACAAAACAAGCCTCTACTTTTTGACCATTTATGTTAGCGAGAAACAGACTGTTTTTCTGAACGTTTTGGAGCGCATACTGTTCACTGTCCGATTTTCAGCTCAATCGGAGACCATGAATTTTTCGAAAAAAAAACGAAAGGGTATAGCCTTCAAAAATTTTTGCATAAAAATTTTTTCGTCTTCGATTTCGCTGAAATTTGGTACAGAGAATCAGGATGTAAAACTAAATGTCGGAGTGGTGTCTGTTGCTCAATATCTCTCTTCGTTCAAAAGTTGACAAAAGTTGCTCCGATTTGGACGAAACGTTGTATGCAGTGAGTAGAAGACAAGTACGTTTGAAAAAACTCACCTGCAGTTCTCTAAGTTTGCTAATTATCACAAAACAAGCCTCTACTTTTTAACCACTTATGTTAGCGAGAAACAGACTGTTTTTCTGAACGTTTTGGAGCGCATACTGTTCACTGTCCGATTTTCAGCTCAATCGGAGACCATGAATTTTTCGAAAAAAAAACGAAAGGGTATAGCCTTCAAAAATTTTTGCATAA